TCAAATCCACTGCAGCATTTGAAATCTCACTCTTAGAGCAGCTGAAAGCTCTTCGCACCTGTGTGTTTCTTTTTACAGGAAGAGCTGGATCTGGCTTCAGGTGCAGGATAAAGAAAGACGTATAATTTCGACTTAAGAGACATTTAACTAAACCACCAATATATTCTCTTAATTCAAAGCAGGAATAGGATGAACATCTCCAAATCCAAAGAATGTATTATATCATCAACTCCTTATTTTTAAGTGGTTCCAAATCATCAAAAAGATTGTGTAAGAGCAGCTGATTCCCAATATAGATATCCTTTTCTTGGGCACCAAGTCATGCCAAGACCCTGGCTGAAATTTTACAAGCGTCTCAAATTGTACTTTAAATAATAGTTATTAGTCATAAGGATTGGCTACCTTTCTTTTCTTTGAAAAGAAGCTATAAATGTATCATCATTTATTCATTTCTGAAATCATCATATTGTTCTCCAAAAGAGTTGGGTTAAATTTACAAAATTTAGAAACATATGTTGTGTGACATGTTTGGGATGTTTCTACTCCTAAACTCAAGTTTAAGACTGTGTGTCCCATCCCAGTTGTGAATTCTATGAAAAGTATGTTCAGTCAGAAGTACAAGCATTTCTGCAAATTTCTGAAGGTGGGATTTCCTCCTTATTTATGTAAACATTTTCTTCTTGAATAAAAATAATCTCATAATTACTTTTTTTCTTGCATTGGTGTACCAGTTCCAAGGCCCAGTCATTAACTAGAACTCCAAGTTAATAAGTGCTGTATGAACAGGGAGAAAGCAAATTTTCCCTGCCCCAAAGGGTTTGTAATGTAAACTCCTAATTTAAAATTCATTAATTTTACACATCACCTTACATAACAATCACAATGCCATAAAGGAGTGAACACATGCTTGTAATTAAAGCCATGGCAGTCTCATCCCATTGTATGAAAAATAGCTCTATCATAATGGTCCTGAGTTTTGTGCCAGACTAGCAGCTAATCATGGGAGAAAGATGATCTAACACTTGCAGAACATGAAAATAGAAATGAAACGTTCTGGTTCCAGCCTATTTTCTCTAGACTTGCTGGGTGATCTTGTGCGTGCTACTTAAGCTTTCCACCCCTCAATTTACCCATGTGCAGAACAGCAATAACAGTATTTATCTGACTCAGAAATGTTTTGTAAGAATAAATTCATAAATCATTAAGTCTCTTACGCACTCTCAACACGCTTTCTACACGGCACCCATTATAGACACTCGAGAAGCACACATGAACTACTGGTTTTAGTCCCAAAATGTCTCTAAAAAGTAGAGTTCGGGAATGTGTGGCAGGAGCAAATAGATCTATCGCAGTCAAAACCTTTCTATTCCTGTACTATTTGCATTTCACCTGCAATATGCAATAAGGATAAAGTTAATCAAATTCATTTTGTCGCTTCTTGATTTACAATATGTTAGCAAATATATGTTCAGAAACTCAGATCAAGATTTTCTACATAAAACTTCTGGAGAAAATCTTTTGATTCTTAATCTGTATACTGTTTTCATAAGAGATATCAAACTCTTTAGAAACTGAAAAGGTCTCTTTAGAAATACCTTACAAGGAGAAAAATTCTGGTAAATGCTACTTTGGATGACTCTTCATCTTGAAAGAATGCAGGGATATTGCTCACTAGTCATAGCATCACTGTGCTCATACCTAGCAGGAAATGCCAATACTAGATCATCAAGGTCAGTAGTCCCATTCATTGACAAAACCATTCATGATATGAGAATGAATGAAGTGTCTTGAAAGTTACCACTCTCTGACTCTCTGTGCAGATTTCACAGTTCAGGACAGAGCCAGTCTATCAGTGGAATACTTTCAGCATATAATCGTCGGTAAAGTCACGTCCCAATAGAGATAATGAGGTCCCATTCATTATTTGCCAAAGTGCAGCAATTTAAGCCTGACTCTCTTCTGCTGTAAAGTTCAGTGTTTGAAATTTGGACCTGATCCTACCTTCACTGAAGTCAATGATAAGGCACCACCTGATTTCAAGGGAGCAGCGGCAGATTTTTTGTAATGCAGAGATCACATTAAATTCACTCTACCCTTCTCTCACAGAGTGAAAAGCAGGTCATGGGTCTGATGTTTGCAGCAATAATGAGGAGGCTTTAGAAACTAAATGGGATGTAGCTGATTATTTTAGCACAAATTGAACTGAAGTACTAATGACTTACCAAGCATTATTCTTATCTGTTGCACAATCAGCACATGATGATGTCCAGAAATAGTGTAACATCATACTTTGTTCAGCAAAAGGCTCAAGGGCTGATTCACTCTCTATGACATAAATCAGGAGGCAACCTCACCAAAGTAATTGAATTACATAAGACTAAAATTAGTGGCAGGAGAGCTAGACCTGAAAAGGACCTCTCCAAGCAGTGAAAGGGAAGGTGCCACCTGCCCCCCAGCCCTGTCCAGCTGAGCCAGGACCACCCCAGCCTGCTGTGCTTGTGGAGGGCTGAGCCCCAGCAGGGATTGCAGCAGCCCTTCTGTCACAGTCTGTGCTGCCTTTGCTTGGGGAAAAAAAGGGTTTGAGACCAGAGAAAAAGTGACTTGATGGGGCCACCCCAAAGGAAACCACAGGGAAGATCAGATACTTGGATTTTACTGTGACACCAACTTGTGTCAGTCAGAGCCAGGCCAAAGAACAGGGCTGCTCTGAGGCAGTTTGCCTGGCCAAAGAGCTGGCACACAGATTGCAGTGAATATCCTGCAGATATGCTCTCTTTTTGACACTTGTCCTAGCTCCCTGACAAACATAGCTGCCTCCAAGCAGAGAGGCATTAGCTGCTTCTCACATTGGCTCCTAATTTCCATATTCAGTGCAAGATATTAATTTTTTCTCCAGTTTTAATGCAGTTTACTCTCATGTTATTCAACAGTGAAAATGCAAATTTCCTGGCCCAAGTATTCAGCTCCACTCCTTCTTAACCGTGTGACATTCTCACCTACAACACAGTGATGTGCTCTGAGCACTGCCCTGCCATGTCCCCTTTATTGCACCCAGATGCAGGGTGCTACCACAAGTACCTGGATTGTCCAGTGGAGATCACAGCCACTCATAACATTCTGCAGGACACAGGTGGCCATACAAGATCCCATTTGCCAGTAAGTCAGAGAGCATTATTCTAACACCAAGAACCAAAAACCAGCCATTGAGCAAGACTCTGAGGCTGACAGAGCCATGCCCTTCCCTACTGAATGAGTGTTTTTACATTCTGAAGTCAGAGGGACACTGAGAGTATCACCAAGCAGCCCCTTACATCTTTTTACCCAAATCCAGCATCACATTTTAGCAAGAGAGCCACAGTATTTCCAAAGCAGTAGCATGTTCATCGGGAGACCCTTAACTCATTCTTCCCCTTATGCACAGCAAACACTTGTACTTCTACAGCTGTGAGCATCCTCTTTTATGTACAAAAAGCTAAAATTAAGATTAATCGTTCCTGTGCAGAAAATCAGTATTCATTATAACAAACAATTCTGGCTTGTAAAGTTAAGGGGTCTTTTATATAATGAATAAACTGTTCACCAGCATTATATCTTTAAGCAGCATTTTAGCTATTGTAGAACTATCTGCAAGTCAGCATCTTACATGGCTCAGAGAAATTAACTAAATTGAAGACTTAAACTAAATCAATGCTCAGCAGAACTCTAGCCTTATTTTTGGATGCCAAGCCACACTACAGAAAACTTTGTTAGAAAGCAAAGAGAATGTTATTTTTCAACAGAACATGTGTGTGTGTAAAGGAAAACATTATTCACAGCTAAAGTTACCCATGAAATACAAATGCAGAAGATTAGGAAATCTGAAAATTTTATGTGTACTTTAGGAACAAAAAAATTTGCATCTTTCTATAATGCCTTACACTTGAGAAGTTTTAATTAGATCACAATAATTAAGTCTGTCTGATAACATCACTGTGATATATGTCTTCATTTACAAATGGGTAAACTGAGACTGAAAGTGGTCCTTTGTGCCAATTTGTGCCTTACCCAATCAATCAAAGAACAAAACAGCACAGAACTTCTGATGTCCTGGCTTCCACTTCACTGGTCAAACTTTTACCAGATCACATCTCATGCCAACAGGACCTCATGCTAACAACCTCTTTGTATTTGAGAGTGGGACCCAGAGTTTTCAACTCCATTATTGCAGTAACACTTCATCACTTGTATTCCTGTCTATTAGTTTAGCGTATACAACTGTTTTTACAGCCAAACAAAACAAGTTTACGAATTCACATATTTTTATTTTAATTATTAATTACATTGTTTTCCAAGAACCTCATTTAAAATACCATTGAAAGTCTTTTTCTCATTTGTCAAAAGCCCCAGTAAATTTATTCCCCTTTTATGTGGTACTGGATTATTTACTCTTCATTTTCTACATGAAACAAGCCCCGACTAGTTACTAGATGGCAGACGTGTCATGTCCAAATCCCAGAAACCTGCTTATTTTACTTCATAGGTCTTTTGAGGTTTTGGCTGGTTTCCTGATCTCTCATATGTGAGCTCCATCTTTCTGAGAATGCATCAGCCAGCCTGTCTGAGCTAGTCACAGGCAGGATTAGTAAAACCAGGCATCTGCAGATGTTAGGCTACCAAAAATGAATACCAGTGTTGTATTCTAGGGGCTTTCATTTGGTGAAGGACTATGGGCCTTGGCAGGGTGAGTTGGGATACTCCCTCACGATAACTTATCTGCAGGAAAAGGAGTGCCAGGGTTTATAGGATTCAGCAGCAGCGTGGCTAATGAGGACAGAGCAGCCTGACCCGTGCGAGTGTTGAGCAACCACAACTCCCATTTACTTCAGCACTTTTGTAGATCAGATCCTCTAGGTTATTTGCTTTTTGGAATAAGCCACTTGTGGTCTGCATCAGCCTTTTCTCTTGGCAATGGTGGCCCATGCCATTTGTTGTTGGCTTTGGCCAGCCGTGACCAGCATGGTTCCTGATCACAGACCATGTGACACAGTTATTTTTAGCATATCAAATTCGCAGAAAGACTAAATGCCCAGTTTTTGCAAAGTTGTTGAAAAGACAGTTTCCTCTTGTTCAAAGCATTTCTGTCTCCAGGTCCAGCAAACTGCTGCTTTTGACAAACTACAAGTCACCATCTTGCTACTGAGCAGACTGTGCCTGGGAGAAAAGAATCAATTAGATAATAAAAGTGTTAGAGGATTTGCTTATTTTATCACTTCGTTTATCCTTTCAGTGTTATTGTTCTGTCAAGAAACCAAAACATGAAGAACTACATCACAATTACTCTTTGCTTTGACTCACACAAACCAAGAAAGATGGGTCAGTGAGGGCTGTCACGAGCTGCACCCATTACCACTGCTGTCCTTTGGAAGGAGCCTTTGATCATCTTTCCTCACTTCTGGCTACACATCAGGAAGGGCCAATAAGGAGGAATCTTCTTTAGTGAGCTTCTACATTGTTTTCTGTATCAGGAAGAAAGAAAAGAAACTAAGCAACAATATAGAATTCTGATTTACAGAATGCTAAGTGTTTTTTTCCCACAGATTTTACTACCTCCCTCCATCATTGCCATTGATTTACCTGTTTCATTGTGTGAAAATCTCATCCTCTGAATAGCTGAATAGCTGAATAGCTGAATAGCTGAGGTATCATGTACTGCACGATTCATACCCTCTCCCAAGACATTATTTTCAGGGTTTTCATAAGGAGAGAAAATAACCTGACTAACACAGCTGTAAATTGATTGATTTAAAAAATAAAAAAAAAAAAAGTTTTCTAAAAAAATTTCCTGAAACTCGTTGCAGTGAGTTCAAGCTTTTCTACAACAAACAAGACACAAAGGGGTCTATGCAACCAAATTCAATTGTACTGCAAATTACCTACCTACCTGAGTAGAGATTCCTTCTTAGTCTGATTGAGAATATAGATATAGGCATGGGACTGCCACATGACTACTTTATTGTAGAGTTCATCTGCCTCTTTCCATCCCCCTTTCCCCATTTTCTGCCAATCTGTACTTCCTCCCTACTGTCAAATGCTCCCCTGGTCTACCTCTGAAAATGTAGCCCTTAAAATATCCTGACAAGCTCTATGGACCTTTACAGCAATAAGGAAGATTTGGCTATCAGAGGGCTATTTGTCACACACACTGAACTTAGCTCAGAGCCTCATTAGATCCACATATGGAGCTTCAAGGGTATTTGTTTGGGATGGGCTATGAACTTAACCAAAGGTAACTCCCATTCACAGGCAGATGGAGGAGGTGGTGCCAGTAACATTACTGGGCTCAGAAATACAACACAGCTTGTCATAACATGTTGCTCTGGCAACATCTGTTAACAGCCCACAGAGCTATGTAGCACTGAAGCCAGATATAGCCATAATGTAGTCTTTTGCACTGAGCTGCAGCTATTCGTACCTTTCCCAGACAGCAACATGTATTATTTGTTCCTGGCCTCAGAAAACCCCACCATCTCTTTCAGGGTTTATTTTCATTTTTCTGGGATTAGGCTACAATGCCGTGGCAAGTACATCTCAGTAACAGCCTTTTTGGAGATGTGAAACTCAGAATTACACCAAATTCCTTCAGGCACTCCTGACAACACCCAGCTAGAAGCAGAGTTTGGTCCAGACAGCATTGCTCCTCAATCAATGGAGCTAATTTCTTACAGGAACTCCTCCCAGCTTCACCAGCATCACTCCATATCCTTAACAACATAACATCCAGTTTCATGTACTCTATTCAGCAATGGGGAAGCTAGTCTGACAGCACCAGGAAAGAGTATAGAAACAAACATTTTTGCTTTTGAGTTTATATTTATGACCATTTTGATATGTTACTGCTGCAAATGGACCAACGGAGTCTCTTACAGGCCAAGTGAGGTCATATCAACACAAATTCTCTATGACAAATGTAGTCTGTAAAGAGGGAAAGGTGATAGGGAAGGAGACAAGGACTTCTGCTTTCTTGTGCACCATCAGGATTTTATCACAAATCACAAATTTTTTATACCTTTAGAATTTTGCATGTTCAGTGCATGAAAGGAGCGACAATTTCCAGAGTGATAATTACTTGAGAATATTTCTGTTGTGATAAGGGAGCCCTTCTGGGTGTCTACAGAGACAAAAGTCAGAAGAGGTTAATGCATGCCACAGCTGTGCCATACCCTTCCTCTGGGTCTAGTAAGCCTGGTGGGTTTTTCCACTGAAACAGCAAGGGATTTTCCTATCAGAAGGCAGCTGGTATCAGCAGATCTCCCAGCTTATCTAGATGTCGCATCTCTTCCAATTTAAATGCTACATCAGGGGTTATTAAGCCTGCGTTGCAAAGAAATAAAACTAAGGAAAACATTCTGGAGGGTGCTCTGGATTCCATTAAAGGATTGAATTTCTCACTATGTTACACTTTTTCCATATGGCTGAAACATGGAGCTGAATACATTCATATACTGCTAGTGGTATAATCCCAGATGGTGACAAATGACCTCATTTCAACAGCAACGTATAGATCTTTATGACACCAATGCTCAGCCATGCTCTTGGGATATTCTCTCCAAACAATGAATGACTGGCAGATAGCATAATGTTTAACTTCTGCCTTCAATTTTGTGCACACTTTATGGCTAATGCTGCAGAGCTACTCGTTCATTAAGTACTCGGCCTTGTAAGAGCATTTAGATGACACGAGATATTCCCTGAGCTGCCAGCCAAGGACCTCCTTTGGCCCATGAAGATCAACTGTGGTGCAGGCAGTGTGTCACTGTGTGTGTGTAAAGATATGCTCTGGCAGGGTAGAAGTGAGCTGATAACGTCTTACCCCTGCTTGGGCCCTTCAGCTGCCTCTTGGGGAAGCGTGAAAGGCTGCCAAGCTCAAGATGTGCTGCATCCTGCAATTTGGCTTTCCAGAGAAGAACAACCCCTCCCCCCAAACTCACCCACGCAGTTCTTCACCCCAAGAAGAGGTCATCACACAAAAAGTAGATAGGAGAGAAAAAGACTGCACACTTGACTGTAACTGCAAAAGAGAGAAGTCTGGAGTCCTCCTGAGATGTTGTGTAAATGGAAAGCAATCTGGGCTGTCTCCATCTTTTACAGAAAGACCTCTGTGCTTTTGTGGACTTCATGGCCTGCCAGATGGAGACGGCTCCAAGTAACACTGAGATCTTATTGCTGCAGAAAACCAAGGAGAGCTATAACCCCAAGTACTGCAGGTGTAGGAGGGAGTACTTGCTCGGATGATGATTCATGTCAGCATCTGAATAAATAAGGTCAGACAGCCAGAGATTATTCCAGTGAAGGGGAGTTGATTTGTTTGGGGGGCAGAAAGGAGGGGCTGTTTGTTTGTTTCGTATCATTATACTGTAACCCTGGCCTACTCTGATTTGTTTTTGTTTTTTTTTCCCCAAGATTTAGTACTCATTTATTTTAATTAAGACCTCCATTCAGCAGAACATATAACTGGGCGCAGCCTACCTGAACTGGAATAGCTGTATGAAAAGCATAAATCCTAATGTTAGCATCCACTGTGTAGTCAGCATAATGTAGCATTTATAAACATATCTGCAATCTGTTTTAAGGAAGATGTCTCCACCACAGACCATAAAAAATAAAAAATCACTTGCCTCAAAGGGGTGAAAAAGGATTAATTAGTTAGTGCTCGTGTAGCACTGTGGAGATACAAATCATGGGACTGTGTTATTGGTAAGCAAAAGATGCCAACAGGAAGCAGCATTGTTAAAGGCACGAGGACTAACAATGGTTTTGTTCTCGCATTTGTAAATGATTCGTCGGCTATTGAAAGGTGTTGGCCTTTCAGCCTAGGAGATTTCAGTCTCTTTCTCTCTCTCTTTCTTCAACCAAAAGTGCCTTCATGGGCTGTGCATAGTTTCTCACACTCCCTCACTAGTGTTCCTCACTCTTAGCTTATAGATGCTAGACAGTAGCCCATTCTCCATAGTCCTTTTATTGCTTGGCCTCTGCCTCAGCTGCCAAGAGGGGTGCCATTTAGACTCATTGTTATGGTAGCTTTTATGATCTAGACATGGTGTCTAGGATCAGAGACTTCCTAGCAATTTTGCATATGCTGCTGCACTGCCGTCAGAAGAGAAGAGCTCCTAGTAGCCAAAAATGTGGGCAGAATTCAAAGCAATGACCTACAGATGAAAGGCACCCCATCTGGGCCAGTTAAGCCATCCAGCCCCTGAATGCCAGCTCTTCACTGAATGAAACCGTATTGTGATGTGATGCTCAGAAGGGAAAAAAAAAAAAAAGAAAAAAGAAGCAGTTTTAAAATATCTGTGGATAACGGCTGTCTAGAGCTAGGGCTACAGACATTCAAACCTTGCTTACATAATATTTCTATCACGCACCATCCTCCCACCCAACTCTCCACATCATGCCAAGGTGCTGGAGGGAGGTCTTGTTCTTATTTATGCGGCATGAATACAAAATCAGAGAGGGTGGCAGAAACTTTCCACAGAAAGGTATGGTGCCTTGGCATGCTGAGGAAAATAGTAGAGCAGGAGCAGCTTGTAAGTGAAGGGGGAGGAGAAGGATTAAAGAAATTGAAATAACGGTATTCAAGTTTTTCCTCAAAAAAACAGGATGACTGCAGTCCCTTAAACCCAGAGACACAGGGAGAAAAATACAAAGCAAAGCATCTTTTCTCCCTATGTTTGTTAAATTGCTCACTTAGACAAGGAAAATCTTTTTTTACCCCGTTGTCCTCAGCTTCTTTTTCACCCTGTTGTCCTCAGCTCCTTTTTCACCCCGTTGTCCTCAGCTCCTGACACACACTTGACCTCTGTCCTCCTTCCTTGCAAACATAGGCCAGATGAGGAAGGTGGTTTTGTCACCTGGAGTTAATTTATTCCAGTCTCCGCTGTGCTGTGCTGCTGTGCTGGGGTGGAACCTTTTCAGATGTCGGGATGACAGGAGAAAGAAAAACGAAGCAGCAGAGTATGTGTGGCGGGTGGCCGAGTCATCCTATCACCACGTATTTGTGTAGTTTCTTTTAGTGCCATCCAATCTTTCCTTCTGTCCCTAAATGGCCTGTGTTGAAAATGTCCCTGCTTACAGTTGCTCAACTGGAATGAGGACAAATTGTTTGCAGTGGCCCCCTTCCAAATGCTTGTGCTGTAACTTTTGTCTTGACTAGTCTCTGGAGATATCTCTAGAGTGAGTTTCCTATGACTCGTTTGTGCTACCCCTAAGTCATGTCAGATTTTCTTCCTCCAGTCCTTCAACTTTGCAGCAGAAATCTTATTTAAAACAGAAAAAGCCAGAGCAGACAGAGGCTTAATGCTGTTATGTCACAAGTTGCCCAGTGAATTAAAAGCGAGGGGGTTGGGTCCCAAGGGTGCCCGAGGTTACAGAGGGGTTCCACGGGGGCAAGGAGACCCACAGGCACAAAGGGGATGGCCACACCAAGCAGCTCTGAGTTATTAAGTCCCAGTGGTGTCAGAACTGCATTGCCTCCCACACTAAGATATCAGCCACTTTTGTAGGTAGGAATGCCTGGCCCTTGGCCCTCCAGACCACTTCGGCTCAGCACTGAAGGGGTGGTGAAGGTACTCTTCCCCCTCACACTCACATGTGAATCAGTCCAGGATGACACAGCACCAAAAAAAGTGGGTTAGCAAAGCCTGAAGAACTAAGCCAAGAAAGGAAGGGTTTATAGTTCCAAAAACCATTTGATGGAGTTTTGCACGTAGACTCATTAATAGATGTTACAGAAGAAAAGGTTCATTCCTCCCCTGTTAGATGCATGATCTGTTAGACATGTATGTGTATATATCTATAATATTTTCCAAGTATAACTGAATTCAAAGGCTATTGTCTTCTTAAATATTAGTTTTTCATCGAATATGCAGTCTGCTTTTAGAAAATAAATACAGAGTTAATGGTATGAAATGGTCTCCTTCAACACTACTAGGACAGAAAACCAGGCCTGCATTCGGCATCTTCCCTGCCTCTTTACACACTTTGCAGAAAATCATCGGAGCATCCTCAGACTGAGGGAGAGTGAAGCCAGGAGATGAGACTGCCATGGTTCCTCACAGAGCCCCTGGGCATGCAAAGGCCAGGATGGGGAGCAAATTGCAGGACCATCAACCCTTCCTGCCTCTTGGCTGCAAGTAGTCAGCCATCACACAGACCTGTGGCTGGTTCCCCAGGGGGGCTTTGCCTGCTTAGATTTCTCAGACAGCCTCCCTCAAAGCACCTCAGCACTTTTGCTTTGTGTAACAGGAAATAGGAGTGTGGGGAAAAAAAAAGAACAATGGAGTTTAGTGAAGGCATCCCATGGTTCCAGTCATGGGGTTGTTCATGTTACATATTGGGTGGTGCATCACATTGCAATGGCATCTCCTGCTCTTTGACCCTTTTCTGGTCTCCTGACTCAGCAGAGAGGTTATCTCCTCTGCAGACATATCCCTGTATCTCTGAGATAACATTACCAGCTAGAAGTGGACAGAGCACAGCCAGCCAAGGCATTCCAGACACTGGAGGTTGCTCAGTGTTATGAGGCTTAGCAAACACAAGGATTTTGTACAACATTGCCATTATTCTGGGGATTTAAAATCTTTGTCACTGGCTATCTTTTATTCATTATTTTTTCTTTTCCTTTCCTTTTTTTTTTCTTTTTTTGTGCCTCTGCCTCCCAGTTAGCCAGCCAAATGATTGCTTGCATTGCACCAGGATCTCACAAACACTATGACTACTTTGTTTTTCATTAGCACTAGAGGGGGAAAATAAACAAGCTGGGCTCATGGTTTATAATTGCATATGTAATTACCATTTTAAGACCACTCTTTGCAATACAAATTAGCTCACTGCCCTTTGTATCATCTCTGCAGTGCCTCTCAGAGCAAATGTAAGCCACCCCTGTTTTTGTCCATCATGCAGCCAGATTCCAGTCCTGGATGTGCTGAAAACAGTGTGATGTACCTCTAAAAATTATCTGCTCTGCTTGCAAACACAGTGACCAGTATTTGGAGCCATGCCTTGACATTCGCTATGTAGTTGGAAGAAGAACCTGTCCAGGCCAATCTTTGGGTCCAATCCAGCTGGCAAACATTTTATAGCACAGCAAATTTTTGTAGAGTTACTCCTGGTTTGCTTTGTTTTCAACATCTCAACAGATCCATGGGAAGAGATCTGCTGACACCACAAAGGCAGAGTCTTCCCTTGGCTTGATTGGTTTCTTCCATGTAAGTAGTAGGGAAGATGAGGAGCATATTGTCAATAAAACATCGACATTATTTACAATTCAACTTCTAAAAGCTGCCATAAAGTAGTGAATAGCAATGAATAAGTCCAAAGCCCTTCTACTCTGTTTTGGTTACTACTTTATGCTCCCAGAGCTCATATGTTCAAAGGGACAAAGCAGAGACGCCCAGAGGAGAGGAAGTCTCATTCTAAAAAAACATAAAAAGAAATGCATGGCCGCAGATCAGGGGATAATTTTATGTCTCACATGTTTTCTGACCCAATAAAGAGCAGCTTTAAATTGTTGCTCTCCTTCTTGATTTTAGAAGAGGCTGAAGCAGACACCATAGTTTACAAAATAGCAGGTGGGCATGAATCCTGAAAAAGTAGATCCATAACAAAATCTTGGTCACTGAGGCCAGAAGGACCCTACCCTTCTGTCTGTGGCAGGATTGATCTAATTATTCTATAACTGTTCCTGCAGATGGGTGTCTGGCCTCGAATAACTCCAACAACAGTGATTGTCCAACGGCTCTTGGCAGCTTGTCCAACTGCCGAACAGTTCTTCTACAGTTTTGCCTAATATTTAACCTAAAACTTCCCTTCTGCTTCAGCCAATTATTATTTGTCTCATCTTTGTTGACTAATGAGAATAATTGATCCTTGTCCTCTTTATAACATTCCTTTATGTCTCCCGTTATTATGTTCCCCACACTCTACTTTTGCCTTTTGGCTAAAGGTGCCAAGTTATCTTAACCTTTCCTCTTAGATCTGAATGCCAGACTTCTTACCATCTTTCTTCCACTCTAAATTCTTCAATTTGTCCACATTTTTTTGTACAGAAATTGAATGCAGTTACTCCAGTTATGCTTTAACCAGTGCCAAGCAGAGCGCAATAATTACTTCAGTAACCTTACTGACCCCATCTAATAACAAAGGCAAAATGCAGCATGTAATTAAAATCTAAAAAAATAACTATTTTTAAAAGCTAATTGCCTTAACAATCAGAGCATTCTACAGCTCAGAGAACACACACTAAAGAATTTACAGGTTATTGTTCATTCAAAAAAACATCTTTTTCAATTATATTCCCAATATTATATTTTGAGCTACGTTCAGTTTTACTCCTATTAGGAATGGTCTGCACTGCATCTCCCACACTCCCTCACCATCTTTTTATTTCCTGCAGATTTAACTCCTAGAAGTTCCATGGTGTCCTGTCTATAGTAGGGATCTTCACCAAGGTTTTCCCACTGTTATTAGACCTTGTCCAGCTCCACCAGTATGGCACAGCAGAGAAATCCCACTCGTGCTTTTGATCTTTTAGGCTATTACTATGTCTTGCAGCTTCACTAATGTCAGTGGAGCAGAGCCAACAGTGAGGCATTTTTAGAAAGCTTCCTTTACAAGGACAAAATATGCATCTCCTTTGCCAAGTCCATGGTGCCCTACCTTGAATCCCCTTCTCTCTGTGGTCTGGCTGGTGTTCTTTTAAAGGGCCTTCTGTCCTCTTCACATCATCAGCATCACACACGTCCATCACAGTCTGTAACTGCACGTACTCCTGCCTTTCAATGGGAACCTCTTCAGGAATAGAAGTCCTTGTTACAACCGACACAAATGATTCAACATTACTATCAGTCTGCTGACAACAGCTATTCTTGGAAAAGGATTACATGAATTTCTAGAATCCCTGAAAATAAACAAATTTGGCTCCATTTACAGGAATGGCAAATTCAGACTGTAAACTCACTTGACTGAGCCAATGCATTTAATTAAATTGGTTTGCTATTATGCTGATAAGCAGAGATATGACTGTTGTTAGTAGACATAATAGTTTCTATTCTTGTTGCCTCATAGCACCTTAATTAAATTACAATTGTTCTGTTGGAAAACATGTCTGTGAACACCTCCAGAGAGACAACATGGGAAAATATTCCTAACAGTTTAAAAATCAGGAGAGCAATACTGCATGGTAGATAGGACATACAGGGCTAAGATTGCAGTAGGGAAGATTCAGATTTGACTTAAGAAAAACCTGACTGTGAATCATTGGAATATATCATCTGGGCATTGGAATAGATCATCTTGATTTTCCTGTCTTGTGTTGTCTTCTAGCACAAGTTAAATGAACAGCTGACAGGAAGAACCCAGGCATAATTGGTCCTGCTTTGTTACACACAGATGACTGAGGTTCTTTTGAGGATCTTTTCGCCTATGTTTTTCTATGGTTGTATTTCACTTTAAATTTCTAAAAAATGAAGTAAACTCCTGATCTCATTTACACACATCCGAGCCTCTCATATTCTATAAAATCTGTACATTTACAAATGAGGTCAGAATTTGGCTTCCAATAATAACACATTGTAATATGCCAGCAATTCCTCCGTAACATGGAAAGGAGCAAAGTACCTTGTTGCATAGGTCCCTTGACCAGTCCATACAAGGCAAAATAATCACTGCTTTTTATGGCCAGACCTCATCCAAGCACTTGTGTAAAACCCTCTTATATAGCTATGTAAAGTAACACATGCACATATTTCCACCTGGAGAAGAGATAGGTTTGGAGGTCTGAATAAAATCAAACAGAAATATCACCTGCAAATATTAA